TGGATCGAAGCGGAGGGAGCAGCTGGGGGCAGTATGGTCTGGCAGGTAGAGCATGGGACTCAGAGGTGAAGGTGAGATCGTGGCAGATCTGTGCAGGATGGCTGGGGATCTATGATGTCCCTCAGAGAGGGCTGGCAGGGACAATGCTCTCCCTGGGTCAGTGATTGTTACCTTCAGGGGCTCAGACTCTGGCAAGTCACTTGCGTGGGGGCTCTTGCTCCGCAGACTCCACAGGAAGTGACGGATGTACAGGAGATGCCGGTACACATTATCGTCCAGCGTCTCCACCTCCAAGTCCACCTTAAATCCTCCACTTGGCAGGACGATGGGCGGGTGGTTATCAAAGGACTCCAGCACTTCGTCTGCAAAACACAGAGGGAAGCTGGTGCTGATATGTGACTCACCTGAGCCCCAGGCCTGCTCCCGGACTGTGGAGCCATTGCTCTTCCCCAGGTCCTGCAAGCCAAGTATTTGCATGGGGACCAATCCCAGCATCCTCTAGGTCACAACCCCACACAACTGGCCTCCAGAGGGCGCTAGGTAATCCCTTCGCTCTGCTTAGCTCCCCTGGGTCGTACCCCTTGCTTGTTCCAAACTCTTGAATGGGTTGTTCAGAACCTTTATCCCCTTCCCTCCCTGTGTCATTTAGAAAAGGGCTCCGCAGCTTCTCAGATCCACCGCTCTGGGCTCTATCCCCCCAAGTCCCTGTAGCTATTGTTAGAAGAGCCGGAATCCAGTCTCTTGCACTCCTTGATCGGTTTCCACCCACTTCACCATGTCCTGATCTCTCTCTTCTCAGGTAGCCAAGATCATGCTGCTGGGCCCTGGGGCGGGGAAAAGTGCTGAGTCTTCCCACACTTTAGCCCCTCCCATGTCACAGCCCAGTATGTCTGAGAACATGCTAGTGGAGGAAGGATGGTCTAGTGGTTAGGGTGCCAGCCTGGGACTTCAGAGAGCTGGGTGCAATGCCCTGCTCCACCGCTTGTCCCAGGTGAGTCAAAGTCACTCTGAGCCTTGTCTGGTCAATGAGGGTGAGTACTGTCAGAACGTTAAAGCCTGCGAGGTGCTTGACTCTATGGTAAGGGGGGGATATAAATACCATAGCTAATGGCATTGATAGCACGGGGTACAGCCAACATTCACCCACCGGGCGAGTCACGTGTCCCCTGTATCTGTCGGGGAAGACTGTGATTCCACCCCATTGTTAGCTCCCCGACCCATGGCCTGGCATTCACAGAAGCGCATCGGAGTGGCTCAACCCAGAGTCAGGACACCCCAAGTGCTACTGAGGGCACAGATCACACCCCTATCAGTGCAACGCAGCCGCACCAGCGCTGTGCGCTCACCTGTCCTGAAGGCTGCAGGGCTGACCTCCTGCCAGGTCTGCCAGGCCGCGACGCACCCCACATCGGACGCTGCCTGGTACTGAGTCAGGATGTGATGGAGCTGAGCAGGACTCAGGGTGGGGAACTCGGCTCTCAGCAATGGCCAGGTCATCTGAGCAAGCAAGAGAGAGCTGGGGTGAAGGCCTCAGGACGGTGCACAGGGAAGATGGCAGGGAGTGAAGCAGTCTGATCAACGGGGAATGAGCTCAGCGTGGCTCTTCAGCAAGTGAGCGGCATGCTAAGGGGTCTAGAGAGCCCAGGCGTGAAGGCACAGCTGCAGCACAGCGGCAGGGCACCACTGATGCTCAGCTGTGCATTTGCGTCGCTGCTACTTCCAATACGTGAGCTGCCTACTGAAGCCAAGGACAGGATGTAAGACACAGAAAGCCTGAAATGCTACCTGCTCCCATCAGTCAGCTTCAAGCTGCTGCTTCCTACCAAAATGGGCACAGATGTTGGTCGAGAGGATGTGCCCCCAAGGTTTGGCTTTGGAAAATAGCCTGGATATTTTAAGCAAATACATTCCCGTAAATCGGCCCCTTAGTCCCCATACGCCAAGCTGGCTGTCCCAGTTCGGCATGCAGAGCCAGTAGGCATGGGCATGCTCTGGGGCAGCGTTTGAAAGCCTGGCCCGAGAGCGACATCACATTCTGAGGGATGGATCAGATTCACCCAGCACACAAAACGGACCCGAGTCTCTGGGATTTCGTGTGTCTGATGGAACCCTGCCTTCCACTCCTACCTCAGGGATCTCCCATCTTGGCCCAGTGTCGGGGAAATGGCATTGATTCCCCCACACCCTCTGCTCTGATGGGCAGGCCTTTGATGTCCCATGATGCTTCTAACGGGAAAAGGGAGGGAAGCTGCATACGAAAGAGACTGTGCTCCTTCGGGCTCCCTGCCTTGCGGAGATGACCCCTCAGTTAGCGTGGGGAGCGCCGGCTTGGGGAGCCCCATCTAATAACTGGCCCTCCCAAATGTCCCCATCCATGATGCTCACAAGAGTCTCCTGCCACTTGCAGGCCCAGACCCTCCAAGGGATCTGATTGGATTCAATGGGATTTAGGTGGCTACAGGCCTTTGAGGGTCTGGTCCCCAAAGGCCATCAATACCCTGGGCCAAGAAGCCCATGCACGTCTCACCTGCGCCAGCTGGGAGCTCGGCATGGCCAGCAGGTGAGCCACGCTGGAGAGCTTGCTGAAGAACTGCTCGGCCAGGTGCCCGAAGCCCACGCCCCGCATCCACTCCAGGAGGAGCCGCAGGCTGGCGCGGATCCTCACTCCTTTCGACCAGTGGAAGCAGCCCAAGGCAGAGCCTGTGGACAGGGTGGGGAAGAGAGAATGAACAGCCACACGCAGCGCTGCTTTAACTTGACTTGCAGTAGGCGCCTGGCCCCACCACAATACAGACAGCTACAGGCTTGAGAAGACACCTGCCGACCCCACTCCCTGGCACAGATACAGCATGAAGGCAATCGGCTGTCAGGGTCAAAGATTGCTCTGTCCAGCCCACCAACAGGCTGAGCCAAGGAGAAGTCAGCCAGCCCAGTCACTTGGCTGGCAGAAAGCACCCCCCCCAGCCAGAGCCTGCATATTGGGTGCTACAGTGCCTGACTTCACCTAGCTGCAAACGCTCACCCTGCTCTGACAGACGCCAGCACGTACTGGGCACAGCAAAACGTTGGCCACGAGAAGTGAGATTCCATCTGCTCTGTGTGGACACTAGAGACCCCAGGGCATCCTTCGTAAGTGCCTTAGCCAGAGTGCCTTGGTGCCCCCATAGTGTTGTACAGGGAGCTATGTGGAGGTTAGCTGCCAGCCTTCTCCCCAGAGGTGGCTGCATTTCAGTTGTGCTGTGTGTAACGTTTCTGAAGCGGCTGGGCATCCTGCCGCACGCCCGGGGCTAGCTGCATACAGCACATTTCAGATGGACACAGATAAATGTCCAGTTGTAGAAGTCTCCTACGAGCAAAACCTGGGGCTGTGGTGAAGGGAGGAAACACTTTTTTCAAGCTACCATTTAAACAAACGTCTCCTAATCTGCAGCCTCTGCCTTCCCCAGCCACAGAGTCTCTGCAGAGCACCCAGGAGGCTATCCCAGAGCTCCTGTATTGTCCACAAGGAGGACTCCACCTCCACATGCTCCTGCATCCAGAAACCGATTCGCCCACTTGGACTGTGCACGGCAGGCAGCTCTCCACACAGCCCGTGTCCTGGTCTCCACACGCAGTGCGGGCACGGGGGATGTCTCCGCGTCAGCCATCGGATAATGACTGACCGGAGCTTGCTGTCAGCCAGACGCCTCATCTCCCCAGACTTTCCTTAGCTGCACCCAGGTAAAGCCAGGCCACAGAACTGGGGCAGCAGAAACGGCAGTGGCTGACCCTGGGGTTTTATTGCGAGAGAAGCACAATGTCAGTGCCCAGATCCAGTTTCTAATGAAGGCCGGGCTCTTCCGCCTTCCCCCCATGATCCTGCATGGGGGTGACCCAGCACTTCCCTTCCCCCTGGGATCTGGGGCCCTGAGGCCAGGCCCAGCTCCGAGAACACAAGGGCAGAGCATGGCACACAGCATGGCCCCGGCGAGGAGCCGGCTGTCCCAGGGGACAGCAGGATTTCACACTCAAATCTGCTCTAATCAGCTCCCACGTGCAGGAAATCAACTCCGGAGACCAACATTTGAAAGCTAATGCTGTCCTTGATAGGCACCGAGCCAAGCCTCAGCCTGTGGACCCATGGAAATGGGGGGGGAGAGGAGCTGGTGCGCCGGTTAAAAGGAAGAACCAACAGCGGCAGGAGACTCTGATCCAACAGGGCTGGGCTGCTCCATCATCCACCACCCTCCACACTAGGAGCTACTGAGCCCCACGCCCCGAACTGTGATCCAGAATCTGACCCTCCCCTCACATCTCTGCCCCGACACCAGATTTGAGCCCTGCAGGCTGGGAGGAAGTTTGATCTGGGTGTAGAGCCCATCTCTGCTGTAGGTGTTGGGCCTGATCCTGTACCAGAGGGTCCATAGCCACTTTGCCAGGGACTTCACTGGGAGCAGGATGGGGTCCGTGCTGATTAAACCAGAGAGACGCCATGCTATAGCAGAGGGCTCTAGTTTGTTGGACCTAGGCTAATTTAGCCTTATCAAGGTCCTAATTCTATCACCCCACTGGACCGTGTGCCCTATACTGCAACCCCGCTGCATGGACACAAAACTAACTGCTCTTCCAGCGATGCCGAAGGCTGCATGGAAAACGTAACTCTGGCGGACAGACCTCAGGCTCGGGGCTCACCATTCGCTGTTCTAGCGCGAAAGGTTCCGTGTGCTTCCTGCTGCAAACCACCTCGCGCAGGACCCACCCGCTGGGCCCTGCCAGCCTCACTAGCGGGTGAGATTCAGAAATGCCAAGGCCAGAAGGGACCACTGTGCTCATCTAGCCTGACCTCCTGCATGATGACAGGATAGCTCAGTGGTTTGAGTATTGGCCTGCTAAACCCAGGATTGTAAATTCAATCCTTGAAGCGGCCATTTGGGGATTGGTCCTGCTTTGAGCAGGGGGTTGGACTAGATGACCTCTTGAGGTCCCTCCCAACCCTGATAGTCTATGATAACACAGCCAGGGAACATCCCTAAAATAATTCCTAGAGCAGGTCTGTTAGAAAAACATCCCATCTGGATTTTAAAATCGACCCTGAGTAAATTGCTCCAGTGGTTAGTTACCGTCACTGTCAAAAATTTGCAACTTATTTCTAGTCAGAATTTGTCTAGCTTCACTGTCCAGCCATTGGATTGTGTTAGACCTTTGTCGGCCAGACTGAAGAGCCCGCTCTTAAATATTTGTTCCCCGGGCAGATTTGTGAGCAAGTCACCTCTTAACCTTCTCTTTGTTAAGCTAAATAGATTGAGCGCTTGATAGGCAGCACTATAAGGCAGGTTTTTTTAATCCATTAATCATTCTAGTGGCTTTCTTCTGACCTCTCTTCAATTTATCAACATCCTTCTTGAATCATGGGCACAAGAACTGGACACAGTATTCTAGTAGCGATCACACCAAACATGGGTGCTGACTCCATGGGTGCTGTGGGGCTGGAGCACCCACGGGGAAAAATTAGTGGGTGCTCCACACCCACCAGCAGCCAAGCTCCCCCTGTCCCCGCCTCGCCTCCTTCCGCTCTCCCCCTCCCGAGCGCTCCGCGTCCCCGGTACTCTCCCTCTCTCCCAGCGCTTCCCGGCCGCCGCCTAACAGCTGTTTGGCAGCGCTTAGGACTTTCCAGGAGGGAGGGGGAGGAGCGGGGACGCGGTGCACCCGGGGGAGGAGGTGGAGAAGAGGCGGGGCAGGGGCGGGGACTTGGGGGAAGGGGGTGGAATTGGGGCAGGGAGAGGGTGGGGCGGGGGCCATGGGAGAGGGGATCGAGGACCCACGGGGCAGAGGGGAAATTGGCGCCTATGATGCCAAATACAGAAATAAAATAACTTCTCTACTTCTACTCGAGAGTTCCCTGTTTATGCATCCCAGGGTCACCGTTAGCCTTTTGGCCACAGTGTCAGAGTGGGAGCTTGTGTTCAGCTGATTATCCCCTACAACCCCTAATCTGTTTCAGTCACTGCTTCCTGTAAGTATGGCCAACATGCTTTGTTCCTAGATGTAGACATTTACATTTATGCCCAGTTCACCAAGCAATCCAGATCACTCTGTATCGGTGACCACTCCCTCAATTTTTGTATCATCTATAAATCTTATCAGTGATTTATGATTTCCTCCAGGCGACTGATAAAAATGTTAAATAGCGCAGGGCCAAGAACCGATCCCTGCAGGACCCCACTGGAAACACACTCACTTGATGATGATTCCCTGTTTACCATTACATTTTGAGATCTATCAGTTAGTCAGTTTTTAATCCATTTGATGTGTGCCATGGTAATTTTATATTGTTGTTATTTTTGGGTCGCTACGGAGCTCCCTTGCCTTAGCCCAGTTCAGAGAGGCTTTTATTATCTGTGTTGTGATGGCACCTGGGGCCGCAATCTTAGACCAGGCGTTACTTGCCATCCTAGGCACTGCCCCAAGCAGATTGCAGTCAGCGTGGGTTTAGTTGCAGGTCCAGTCCAATACTGGATGGGGGATGGTTTTCTGTCTGCAGGTCTGATGCATCCAAGAGTCTATGAAAACAGCAGCTCTCGGGAAATCCCCACCATTCAAACTGGCAAAAAAGTCTTAAAAGTTGGATAAAACCTTGCAAGATAAGTTGCTTGCATGGCATTTAATGGGATAGCTCAGTGGTTTGAGCATTAGCCTGCTAAACCCGGGGTTGTGAGTTCAATCCTTGAGGGGGCTATTTAGGGAACTGGGGTAAAAACCTGTCTGGGGATTGGCCCTGCTTTGAGCAGGGGGTTGGGCTAGATGACCTCCTGAGCTCCCTTCCAACCCTGATATTCTATGACTTAACTATGTGTCTCGCAGAACAGGTATAGGAACACTGGCATGATTAAAGTTAAGCAAGTGCTTTGGTGAATCAGGGCCAAATGGAGGAGTCCAAGCTCCAGAACTGACACCCTGGCACCTTCTAAAGTTACCTTATATTTGAAACAACAACAATGACAAAGCTCTAAATCCAGGGGCCGTCATGGCTGTAGCTCAACAACATACTCGCTGGCACTGCGAAGGGACGGACAGCCCACACTGGAGCACACAGTTTCCCTTCCCCTTTTTGTTCTTGCTTAGTGGACCATCAGACAGGGCGGAGGGAGCAGTGCTGGCAGAGCCTGCGGCTCACCACAGAGACTCTGTTTCTAAGTGGGGCGGAGCTGGGCAGGAAGAGGGACAGAGGCCTGACAGGGCTGAGTGGCAAAATTAGGTTAATTCTTTAAGCACCCAACTCCTATTAACTCATATGGTATTAGCTGCAATACACCTGGCGGTAAGGAGGTGCTGCTGGAGTTTATACAGGTATCACATGCTCTGTAGTTCAACTGGAATTCTGCGGTAATTAGGATTAATTAATGAGCAGATTTTCGCCTCAATTAAGAAGCAGGATGCAATGTTTTATTATGCACAGCAATCAGGCAGTGCTGGGGAACAAACTCCACTAACAGCCTATGGCCTGTCCTCCGCTCGGCATCAAAATGGCAGACCTTATACCAACCCCAGCACAAGCGATTAGAGGGGTGGTATGTTAATTTGGGGGGAGAGCTAACAAAGGCTGAACACATCCAGAGGTGAAAATAAGCCGGTACGGTCTGGTACAGTGTACTGGACTGGCTCCCCCAGACCAGCAATTTAAAGGGCCTGGGACTCCTGGCAGTGGCCCTTTAAACCGCCTTAAAAGCGGTAGCGGCGGCGGGGCTCCGGCGGTGATTTAAAGGGCCAGGGGCTCCAGGCACCACTACTGCAGCAGAGCCCAGATTTAAAGGGCCTGGGGATTTAAAGGACAGCCTCTTCCAGTGGAGGCCACGCCCCTTCTGGTTGAGGCTCCGCCCCCTACGACTCCGGCGTATCGGTAAGTCCTTTAAGTTACTTTCATCCCTGAACACATCCCCATTAACAATGGTATCACAGTGAACATCCAAGGCATTAAGAAGGGGTTAGTGGAGCGTTATCGATAAAGGCAGCAGACTCGGGCAAGACAGCAAACATAAAGGCAGAGTCAAGCCAAGGGAGCAGAAGCTAAAACCCGAGTTAAGCTGTTATCTGAGCCAACTATACACCTAGAGAGCAGAGCACACAGGCTGCGATCCAGGGAGTCCATCAGAGTCAAGGAAGTGAAGTCACAAAGACCTCATTTCTGGGTGTAGCTGAGCCCCACCCTCCACCCAGACTCTAGCTCCCATAGGTTTAATTGGTACTCGCCCGGCAGAGTCCTGCCCCCGCCCCGCTCTCTCTCACACCCCCCACCCCAGTCTTAGCGCTGAAGCAGGGCTCTGAATGATTGAAAGTGACACTTATTCCTAACCACCTCTCTGCTGACACCAGTTAAACAAAGGACTCAGTAGTTTAAGTCAAGTTCTAAAGCATCCTTATCCCCTGTAGGAAACAAGTTGGCTGCTTTGCTGTCAGTACCAGTCTGGGGGTCTCTCCCTGGCAGTGGGGCCATACTGATGAATTACGCATGGGGGCTCAATAGCCTAACACGAGTTTAGGTAACAGGGCAGCAAGACTCCTTTGCTGAATGCAGAATTCCAGGTGTGTCCAAGCCCCTCACATCCTAAAATATCCCAACAGATGCTGTAAAATCTCTCCCCACATTTGGCCGATCCTCATCTCATAGCCTGGCTGGCTGCAATACTGGGGCATTTTAAGTCTGTTCCTTTAGTTAATGAATAAACACAAAGAGGTCTTCAAAGCAGACAAGGCCAGTCTTTGGGAACGCCTGCCCCTCCCACAAATGTCTCACTCCCTGGTCCCAAGGTCACTCGCCTTTGTCCATGAGCTGGTTGAAGAGCAGAGTGTTGGAGAAGAAGAAGAGGTAGGCGAACATTTGGGAGGCTATTTCAGGGTGCACTTCATACTGGTGGAGCAGGTCCAGCGTAGACTGGTAGATCAACACGACTCTGCGTATTTCTTCAGGCAACTGGGATGATGCCCGCCAACCTTCCTGGCCCTCACTCTGGAAGGGGTTACACTCCAGGAGGGCAGGTAGAGATACATACAGAGACTGGAGAGGGAGGAGACAAGAAATACACAAGTCCAGGATTCAAAGCGCTGGAGATTTACTGTGGGAAGCAATTCTGCATTGGCCAGATGGTGACCTAAACAGGTCTTCTGAATCTCTCGTTTCCATGATCCCATAACCAGCTCAAGCCCTGCTGTTCTCAAACAAGGAAGGGCATATTTCTTGCCCCCTCACGGACTAACTCCTTGTGACCTGCAAGCTTGCTCAGCCCTGTCCCTAAGCAATAATTTCACACCATACATGGTGGTCAGTTGGTCTCGGTCTGTTTTGGGGAACAAACGGAATGTGAGATACAAACTACTGTAGATATTAAGTGAAAGGAATGTGCCCGTTCTATGCACCCACATGGTAACTGAAGATCTAATACACATGCTATGAAAAAAAGGCAGAAGACAAACGCAGTGTCCAATTAGAGACACTTTCCTTTGTGTAAATGAGAAAGGTTGAAAAGCAGTGTCCAATCAGAGCTTTTGCTAGGTATGCAAATGAGACAGGATAAGCATCAACCAATCAGAGAGGGGGAGAGGCTGCTGGAACAGTGGAACAATCTTTCCACAGAGGGGGAAAAAAGAGCTACAAATAGAATCAAGAAGAAAAATAGTCCATTTCCCAGCGAGAGGCCAAGTCTGTAATCACCAGACCTGGCAGGGGGAGCTGGTGGAAAGGCAGCATCATCAGTCGAGTTTAACTTCTTTTTCAATGGAAACAAGTCCCCACCCTGCAGACACAAGCAGCCTTTCTCTGGGCCCACACTGCACACACTGTTCAGCGCTCTGTAATAAAATTTCACTCCAGGGGCCTAACGGAGCGAGTCCAGAAGGAATATTTCCATCATGTACATGAATCAATTCATTATACCCAGGGCTATTACCGTACTGTAAATCACAAACAAACTGAGGAGGGCTGGACGCACTATCCCAACAACTCTTCCTACTGATCTATGGGCCACTCATTTCCTCCTGGCTTCCTGTGGCCTGGTCCCTTGTTTCCAAGTCGCTAGCCATGCAGAGAACTGTTCCATCGTAATTTCACACTCTCCTCGGGCTCTGACCATCACTGGGACACTTGAGCCCAGAGGAAAATGAATCCAAAAGTTACAAGGAGGCGTGAGGGAGAATAAGGGTTGGTCGTGAAAGTGACTGTGCAGCCTTAACTAAGCCATTCACGAATGGGGACACCGTAATGAGCGAATGCCTCCCTAGGAGACAGTGTTACTGTTAATTCTTCAGGGACCTCTCACCTGCCAGAAATTCACTGCGATCAGTTCAAGGTATCCGACATGCAGCTCTCCCCCCTGCCAATCACCTGCTAGGGTGATTATATTGAAACTCGCCCAGTTTGCTATCTAGATTCTTATACAGCGTAGCATCTTTCAAAGATCATGAGGCGCTCACATACTATGGTAATGGGGGGGCTCATGTTAGTAAACAGCATCCAAGCAGCTCGTAATCCTTAATGGATTTTATCCTCACACCCACCTGAGAGCTAGGAATGTATCCTCCTCATTTTACAGGGTACATCAAATGCCTCAACTAAGGTCAGGCCGCAAGCCTATGGCTGAGCTGGGACTTTCACCCCGGCCCCTAAGTCCGAGTCTACTGCTCTGTGTCTGTCTTACCTATTTAGACTGCAAGTTCTTTGGGGCAAGGTCTCTCTCTCTCTTACTACGTGTTTGTGCTATGCCTTGCCCAATGGGGCCTTGATCCTGGCTGAGCGCTGTAATAGAAAAAAACAACAGCTAAATAACTTGGGCCATCCAAAAACATCTATGTGGTTTTTTAAAAAAATCAACCTGTTTGATCATTTCTGACCCCTCAAAAAGTCGTTTCTGACCCTCTTCAGTGACTCAGGAACGTTAGGGAAAGTCAAATCCCCTGGCACCAGCATTTCTTGCACTGCATCCTAGAGACCAGTGTTTTTTAATACAGAGGAGGCTTGCAGGAACCAGTATATCTGTTAGAACTCAGCAGAAAGAAGAACCTGCTGTCCCAGGACAGGATGGAGAGGGAGGGCAATTTCAGGCACGGGTGCTCAGTTGGGAGACTTCTCCCCTCCCTCTCCCATCATCCCCCTTTGATTTCCAGTAAGACACCATCAGCACAAAGCTCCTCTTCGCCCTTGGCAGCCCTCTGGATTAGGCTGTGCATTAGCGGGAGAGAGGGAGAGGTGTTGGGGGTGCACATACCTTGGAGATATAGTAGACACACTGCTGAAAAGTATACATGATCACTTCCTCTAGGACTGTCATGGCTTCCTCGCTGGCTGTGATGGTTGAAGAGAACAGAGACTCCTTAGAACCTAAAGGACAAAGACAGCAATGGAACACGTCAGAGCAAAGGGCTCCAAACCGGGTCTGTTAGTTTAGTAGATGAATTGTCTCTCTGAGGGTCAACTTGTGATGCTGTATTTCATTATGCAAAGTCTACTGACATACCCCGAACTGCCATGGGTTTGTTACTGCAAAGGCAGCATGGCTAGTGGTTACAGGGTGGGATTGGGAGCCAGAAGTTTTGGATTCTATTTCTAGCTCTTCCACTGACTCATTGTGTGCCCTTGAGCAAATCAAACAGTGTTGTAGCAGCAATAGTTCCCTACTGGGCGGCATAACTTAACACTGCTGTCTCGCGAAGGCTCCCAACAGTGAGGACTATTTCAAAGAACGGTAGAGGAGCTGGCATGGAGGAGAACTGATGCCTACGTTATTTCTTACAATCACTCTCAAATGGGAAAAAAATCAGGTAGCAGATGCATCCTTGGGACGTTCACAAGTATGCACAACGTGCACTACTTTACCTGGCCACTTGATGTCCCCATTGCACTAGTGAAATTAAAGCGGAAGGCGCATTTATCTGGCTTGACTTTGAGAAGCTGGACAGCTCAAGATGGCTCTTTTAAGAGAGAGGTTCAGAAAGAGAAGCCATTCCCATCTGAGGCCATTTGGTGCGTATGGTGCTCTCATTTTAGCAGAGCAGACACACTTCCATTGCCCAGCTGAACCCCTCCTGTTTATCCCGAGCTTGAATTGTTGGCAGCAGTCTCCAGGACCGTGACTGCAACCCCCTGAATTCAGGAGAACTCCGCTGGTTCTCCCTTTTCTTCTCTCATTGTATCATCTTTGCCAGGATCCGCCTGCCCCTTAGTCAGTCTCCAAAGGACACTGCACTGGAGACAATATAAATTCATACTGGTGCCTTCCCTTTCCACAGTGGCTGGGGAGCCGTTACAGGATGCTGTGTCAGGAATCGAAAACTCCAACCCTGCATTCTGCTGGTGCCTTTTCCTGGCTCTCCCTTAAAGACGTGAAACTGCACCTCACTTTCCTTGGTGCATTGTGAGCAGGGAGGGTGTACAGAAATCCAGATCTAATAAAACATGGGGTTGCCATAGCAGTGGCTGTTAAACACGTATATGTTGTATTTCTGGGCGCTGATAGGTTGGGGGGAGGAGCGGTAATATTTCCCCTACAGACTAACATTTTTCTTCTAGCAATGCTTCGATTTCAGTCCAGATTTGCAGCCCCGCCAGCCCCATATGCTGAACATTTGTGCAGCTGGATGAAGCGCTTTCCAAACGCAGCTTGTCAGAAAACGTTGCCTTTGGAACAGAAGAGAAGGTCGCGATAGCTTTGCCAAACTAGCCCCACCCCCACGTTCCTTTGATGTGGAATCAGAAAGAGGGAAATTCCATGACATCATCCACCTGACCATTCCCCAAGTCCCATTTGCAGATGGTGAGTGAAGGACTTTTCAGCCACACACACTTTTGCGGCAGTTCAGGGAGGTAAGTTGGTGAATTTTTACGGCTCAGGAAAGTGAGGGGCTAATAAGACTCAATCAACCCATGTGTAATGAAGGCAGGAGCATTGTAAACTTTCACATACAGCGCTGCTTAATGCACCTGAATTCTGGTCTACAGCCCCACGTGCTATTCCAATAGCAGGACCCCTCACTGCTGTGCCAAGAAACCTTAGTCCCGATCTGCTATTTTAATCCTGATCTATTTGGAACTGAGACTGCTAATCACTCTGGACTCTATAAAGGCTGGCAAATACCTACTCCAGAGCAGGCTGACACCACTCAAACTCATTTCACATGTGACCCGAGGTTGATGCGAACCCAAGTTTCTGAAGTGAAAAGTCAATTTAAAAACATGGCCATAATAAGATTTTCAAATCTGACATGAAAAATAACATTGACGATGCAGAAGGAAACCTTGGTGCTCATCTGTCTCAGGCAATTTAAATTGAAAGCCAAGGTGCTAGGGAATCTGCCAGTGCAGGATTTCAAACCGGAAAATAAGGATCACAGACAAACATAGCCAGTCCATGTTATGAATATTTCTGATCACATGCCGAGAGGTGGGGGTGACTGGAGAGACGGGTATGGAGACACAAGGGATAGCTCTTCCTGGGACCCATGTGTAGACTATGGATTCCGTGAGGTCCTGAAAGTACTCAGTATTGTGTGATCTCTTTAAGGAAGTCCCCAGTAATACATCTGGTCCTGAGCGACTGTCACCCAAGCTGTCCTCAAGTTGCTCAGCTGTGGTCCAAAGCTTTGTGGGAATAATATTCAATAGGAAGCCAGCCCCGGGTTCGGTGAGCGATCCAGTTGGGCCCTGGTGCTGATTTCTGTGAATCTATTTGTAAGTATTCACCAAACAGTTTCAACAAATAATGTTCAGCCTATGGGCTGGTTCACAAACGGTTTGCTTTGACTACTCTGTAGCCATTATTTGTATTGCCTGACCGGTCATCTAAGTCACATGGGATCAGGAGAGTAACAAAAAAGAAGTAACACATTTTCTGGCACAAGTTTTCAGGCAAATATTAATTAGTGCTACGATTCATGAAGCTTCTGGGATTGGCACACGGCTTCATGAATATCAGGTCATCCAGAGATGCATGGATGGTATGTCCCCACAAAGCTGTGAACTGAACATGGGGCTTTTAGTCACAAAAATATACCCAAATCAGGGTGGTTGGGTTTTGTTTGTTTTGCGGTTTTTGTTAACTATTCAATCTGCTCTAATTATAGGACAGAATTGCTCATACAGCAAGGTCTAAACACCTGCATTTCCCAGGGGTACAATGCTTTTCTCAGACTATTTCATAACACCTGAGTGGAAAAGGTGTTAAAAACATGTGCCAGGAGAAACACCCTCACATGTAGAAAGATGGGGCCCAGCCCAGGGTTTCTCATCCTTCTGCATACCTGGAATCCCCCCATCTCTCACAAAACTCTCCCCCCATGGAGCAATCTGGGAAAGGGGGGGCGGTCCTGGCCCCTGGTCTAGATAGCAATGAACGGGAAGGGAAAAGGTGTAGGACAAAACCTCTCCTTTTCGTTTGCCAGCCTGTGGGTTCAGTGCGCTCCAGTGTACCGGCTAGACTTTGAAAATCAAAAGTATTTCACTTATTCTCAGGCTACGTCTTTTTTATTTTTAAAAATCTTCCCACAGATATTTCCTGAGGGATGTCAAGAGGCCAAAATACTGATTTTAACCTTTCCCTCACCCTCTTGTTTATGTTATTTCTATCCCTCCTCATTCACCAAAACCTGCCCAGGCACAAGATGTATTTATATGACACTACGCTGCTCCCTCCCCCACCCTCCCGGCTGAGCATCAGCCCGTCGAGTCAGGATGGCCCCACTTCAGCCATCCAGCTCAATTCACTTAAACACCTCCTTAAATTTAGCCACAGGCATAAGTTCCATTGATGTCAATGGGGCTTAAGAACATGCTGAAAGTTAAGCATGTGCCTAAGTGCTTTGCTGAACAGGGCTGGACTTAAGCACTCACTTAAGTGCTTTGCTGAAGTAAGGCCTGGAATGGGCAGGGGGTAAATCTCTCTCCCTTACAATGCCCTGGAGTTTTAAGCAAATGTCGCTCACCCCACAAACCCAGAATGCTCCTTCACTTGCATGCTTGCTGCCTTCACTCTTGCACATGCCATGGACTTCACTTTCCCAAAGACCATTCCCACTAAGGGAACAGACCTATTTAAAGAATCCTCTCTCTAGACAGCAACCCAAATCTAGCTGTTCCCACCGATTACAGCCCAGGAGGGAGCAAACGCTACCAGCCAGGGAAGACGAATGTCCCAGAATCCCTCCGGGGATATGAGAGAGGAACGCAGGCAGGTGTTCATCTCAGAGACCTTTCAGCTACTAAATGCCAGCAAAGGAAGGAGAAGATCTGACACTAGGGAGCAGCAGAGGGAGGGGCTGGTGCTATAGAACAGAAGGACGGAGAGTCACAGAACATTGGATTAGCTGCTGCAAGGAGAGTCTGCTTGGATCTGCCCATGGCCAATTTAAGCAGAATTCTCCGTGCATGTTACCCAGCCTGTATCTGGGTAATTATCATCCACCTAAGCACAATGACCTAGGGTTCTGAGTGCTGGAGATTTAGCCCAGGAGGTTTTTCTCTCACTCTCCTCCAGTCCTAGTGATCAGCAGCAAATGCCCACCATCATCTTCCTTGACTTTTCATTCCTTGTAAGCTTGCTGACACTGTAAAGATATTTCACATCTCTCTATCGATAGTCCCCTGCAAGCTGAGCATCACCCATCTCTCTCATCTCTGTAGACTGTACTTATCCATAGTAATACTCCAGTTATGAGACTCATCCAGTAGGGGGTGGGTTTTGCCAGCTACACCATAACTGACACCACTTAGTAATACTTCTAGCACTTGGTTGTTTCCCATGTTCCTGGCTAGAACTGGCTGAAAAAAATTGAATTTCAAATTTCTTTTGTCAAAAAACAGGGACAAATTTTTTGCAAGATGTTTTGTGAAAAGCGTTCGTGGTTTTCAGCCAGCCCTACCCCAGTATTTGTGCACGGACACTTCTGTGCATTCATACACTTATCCTTCATCTTTGGTTTCAGAACGATCCAGTCTTTCTGCCCGAAGTGCTCTCTCTGCCTTTTCTCAATCAGCGTGAAGCCTTCCCAACAATCCCTGCCTGTGTTGGATCCAGGAATGATCAAAGATTTCCCTTAGTGATGTAAAGGCAACCTTATGACCCAATAAGTGGAGATTCCAACTGGAAGAGAAGCCATCCTAAATCTGCTTTTTACCAACAGGGAGAAACTGATCACGACTGTGAGAATAATAAGGAAGCTTCCTGAATTCAGAATAGTAAGGACTGGATTCACAGAATGCAGCTGTACACGGGCATGACTGGGATTCAGGAACGCACATTGTGAGAAATGAAATAGGGTGAAATACTGGCCCCACTGAAGTCAATGAGAGTTTTGCCATAGACTTCAGTGAAGCCACCATCTCACCCAGCGAGTAAGGCCCAGTCGAAGGAAGTATTGAAACCCAGCAATGCAGAAAGCAGCTAGTCACCCTAAAAAACACCACAATTAAGAAGAAAAAGACTGCAGTTCCAGCGAGGCTTCATACAGGGTTGTTCAAAGAGAAGGATACAAAATGACATCGACTGTATGGGAAAGTGGAGTGGTGAGCAAAGAAGAAAAGAGAGACCTTTAGGAATGGCCGACTACTAATAAGGGCTGCAAAAATGGAAAGAGAGACTTTTACAAATCTACCCAGGGGGACAGCGTCTGTGCCCATGCCCTGTGTTCTGCGTGTGTGTTGGGGGGGAGGGTACTAGAGACAAAATGGGGCCCGTAATAAATGAGGAAGGAGAGCAAGGGCGGGATTTTCAAAATCACTCTGTGTTAGCCTAGCTCAGTGGTTCTCAACCAGGGTACGTGTACCCCTGGGGGTATGCAGAGGTCTTCCAGGGGGTACATCAGTTTTACAACAGGCTACATAAAAAGCACTAGCAAAGTCAGTACAAACTAAATTTCATACAGACAATGACTTGTTTATACTGCTCTGTATATTGTACACTGAAGTATAAGTACAATATTTATATTCCAATTGATTTATTTTATAATTGTATGGTAAAAATGAGGAAGTCAGCAATTGTTCCGTACTAGCGGCCTGTGACACTTTTGTATTTTGATGTCTGATTTTTCTAAGCAAGTAGTTTTTAAGTGAGGTGAAACTTGGGGGTACGCAAGACAAATCAGACTCCTGACAGGAGGCCAGTAGTCTGGAAAGGTTCAGAGCCACTGGCCTAGCTCTCTCCCATTGCAGTCTGTGGGAGCTTTGCCATTGACAGCAGTGGGAGCAGAGTTGGGCCGACACTGAGTGCTTTTGACAAATCTCCCTTTAAATTAACACAGACTCAACAATGGTGAGAAACGTAAAGAAAATAGTTTGGGACAACTGGGAAGCCCTTATCCAAACAGTGAGGAACAGCAGGGGTGGGCATACTCAGACCGATGGTGGGGAAGCCACCAGGCCGCAAGAAAACCCAGAGAAAGATTCAAGGAAAAGATAAAGACCTAATTAGTTTCAGGATCCTCTCTTGACATCGTGCTGAGCCCTGCAATGGATGAACTGAACCCCAACTCCTGGGGTTTATCATCTCACTTTCCCAGCAGCTGCTCATGTGCGCCTTGCACTTTGTGAGGCCTGCAGTATTTTTAGCCTACAAGCACATTTTTTAGAGCGCTCACTGATTAAGAATGCACCCGCTGTCCCACCCTCCCACCCACACATTGGTCTTTACATCTTGTATCAGCATGGGAACCAAGATAGCATAGGACATGGAGAGCATCCAGCACTCAGCTGGTTTGGCTCTTGAGTGCTTTGCTCCCTCTCCCTCCGAGGGGAATGAGAAAACGAGGCCATGCTGAGAGTGAAGCCCGGCTAATCCCCTCACCGTATTAGACTCCCTGCGGCTGCAAGCTGTCACCACTCATTTGATAAGGGGGATTATTTCCCTCCCAAGTGTTCACGGGGCTGGAGGACTTAGCTTAGCAGCCCTGAGAGCTAGTGGTGCTTCCAGAGGCACCGGTAATACTGAGCAACACTGCTAGCCAGGTAGCCGGTCTGGTCTGTGATCTAATGGAGTCACTTCACAGGGTGGAGTGAGAGGTGAGGCTGCAGAATGCAGAGCAAGGGCTGGCAGCCAGGCAGGGGTTTCCAACTGTGGCCTGGAGGACTGGGCAGCCTGCAGAATACTCCCAGAGCCTCCTCCTTACCGATCTTGCATCCCTTTCCTCTTATCTCAGTGGCCAGGACTAAGGGTTCAGGGAAAGGACCTTGTTACCTACCCCAGGTATCAACACATAGATACCAGTCCATTCTTGGTGACAGAAGTCAAGGTGACCCCTTGGTTGCAATGGGATCCATGCCCCAAAATCATATCCATTCATGGCTTCAAAAGGCTACATGCAAGAGCTCATCATTGCACAAGCCCCTTCTGACGAGGTGGCTGAAACCCAGTAGGGCCAATTGAGTTCCCTGGACTCAAAGCCAGGTGGCTTGATACCCCATGAAGATATAAGGGAGAAGGGAGTAGTCCTCCAGTGAAAGAGGATCTAGGGCGTGAGCTGAGCAATCCTGAGGGAGGAACCCTGGGAGCAGCTAAACCTGGGAGAAAGTTTGATCTGAGTTTTATCATCTCATTAATAAACCAAAATCCCAGGAAAGAGTTCAGTTTTGACTCTACACAATGGGGGGACTTTGTTTTCGAGCCAGTTGGGAAAGGCACTTGCTTAACACTAACTAACTACTAATACTAACTATACTAAGAAGTAAACAACTATATACAATGGACACTGCAAAGGCGCTTGCCAAGGATGTTCCAGCTAACCATCACCGGCGGTAAGAAGGGGCTGGCGGGTCGGCAGGGCTCTATATTGAGCGCCATGAAGGCGTGACTCCCGGGGGCGCCCAGGCCAACCCAATGGATGCTACTAGGGGGAAAATCTTCCAGTTGCCGTGCCCACACACACACCTGATTGGAATGGACATGAACAAGCATTCGAAGAATAACCTCCTTTTCACGTCTGTTTAAAAGGGACTCTTGAGACACACAAAAGCCCTGATTTTAAGACTGACTTCAATCCAGCCTCCTTTTTTACCTTTGCACCTGCAGTTTCACAGGTAAGCAATTCTGCCCTCAGGATTGAGTAATGGGGAGCAGAGTGAGCAGATCCCAGCAGGACATTCAAGCGTCCACGTGCTATGGCTGCCTTGGCTCAATCTCCAGCGGACGTGCCACAAAAGGCACCACAGTTTATCCTTCAAGAACCTGCTCAGGAGACGTCCCAGAGAACTGGTGGGGTCATGAGCACTGTGGGTGAAGTTCCCTTACTTTCCACAAACCCCAATACTATCGAAGGGCATATCTGGGATAAGGAGGCAACATGGTGGTCTCGGAAGTCAGGATGGAAGTACCTTGCTGGAGCAGCAAGGGAGGAAAACACCAGCACACCAGCTTGGTGCTACAGCGCCCCCTTTGCCTGACATGTCCCACAGTGGGCATACGGCTGGGGACGTTTTGTATTGGGGAGGCATATCGGTATAAAGAAGCAGGAGTCCTACCCTTGACATCCAGCTCCTCCTCCAGGCTCTGGATGTAGGTGGGGGATTTCTGTTGGATAAAGTACAGGAGCTCGATGGAGTTGGACATCCAGAAGAGAATGTGCTGCAGGTCCGGGACCAGGTCTGTGACGGTGAAGCGGGACAGGGATCCGGGATCCTGACTGGTGAGACAGAGAAGGCAAGAGGAGCGTTTCAGACTCCAGCCAGGACAAAGCTGGTTGCAGTTGCAGTCTCTCTGTGTGCACGAAGCCCCTGGCTACGGGAAAGGCTTGTGCCCCTCTCAGAGGCTGGCGACGCAGGATAGTCCCAGTGGGCATGAACAATGCAGTAATGGAGACACCGGCAGCACAGACAACACTCCAGTATTTTATACTCTCCTGCGACGGCATCGACACACTTTTCCCCGACACACTCCGAAGTTTCAGAATGAGTACGGTCACGGACTATTGCCAGCACAAGAGTAATGGTCTTAGAAAGCAAACCCAAACCAAACCCAGCAGCTGCCTTCCCCTGGGGAGTTAAGGATGTGCTGTGAAACTATTCTGCAAATTGGGATTCCTGTTTCCCGGGCAGTGGAAACGCCACAGCCCAGCACCCCAGAGACCAAAAGCTGGAGCTCGGTGATTTGCTAACCATCCTGAGAACCTCCGACCTGCTGATTTACAGCCAGGTGCTGAGCACCTCCTGAGAAACGCTGAGCAACCTCAATCGGAGCTGAAGGTGCCGAGTGTTTCCCGGGCTCTTAGGAATTAACAACAACGCTAATGGTGGTCACATGATTCCTTCTCCCCTGGTCATGCGGTACGGTGCAGTGGCAGCCAACAGTGGGATACAGGGGCTTGTATCAAACGAGGAGAAAAGTGATGGGTCAAAAATCAAGCCTGGAGCAGCCAGCACTCCAACAGGGTCGTCGAGACTGGGCAAGATTCTCGGAAGCGACGGGGGGAAATGTCAGCTGCCCAACCTGAGACTCGTGAGAACCTGCCCTCTGAAAACCAGCCCCCTTTTAAGGTGTCTCACATTAGGCACCTACAAATCACTCTTGGAAGTCTTCCCCAGAGCCCTGCCCTATTAACAGCAGCCCCCAACCCCCAGGCTGGAGAGCCCAAGTGCACTAAAGCTGCATTGAAACCGAAAAAGACTTTCTGCGAAAATGCTCTTGACAAAGGCAAAGTTTTGGATCAAATGTTTGTTTTAGCACTTTGGCCTGATGCGAAAGGCGCTGAGTCAATGGGAACTGAAAGCACTCAGCTCCTCTCAGGATCAGGCCCTTTATATAGCACTGCAAATGCTGAGGAGACTGTTTTCAACCATCCGGGATTTTGCCTGTGAATTTAGTGCTGATGACTGGCTCTCAATCCAGAGGCTGAGTACGGTACAGAGAGCAGTAACCCTCTTGAGTTAACTGAGGGCTTATAAAAATTTTTTTTAAAAGCATCTGGAAAATTTCTTAACTAGCGAAACGCTTTTCATGCTATGATCACTCAAAAAATGGTTGGATGGGATTTCTGATAACTTTATAAAACAAGCTCACTTTAGAACAACCATGAAGAATTTCAGCCTCAAAAGATATTTTTCTGAGGAATGTTTTAAGCCAGTCAAAAATAGGGACTTTGGGCAAAAAGGCTTCACTCTATGTGGCTATTACCCTTCGCAGGAGGTAGTTCTACCCAAGGTTCCTGCTCACACCTATTATGGCTAATTTTAAAATGACACTCCCCAAATCTGAGACGTACACAGGGCCAAGGTCTTCTAAAGAGACTAGTGACTTGGGACCTCAGTTTTTGGGATGCCCAACTGTGAGACACCTGAAAAGGGTCTGGATTTTCAGAAAGTGCAGAGTACTCACCTCTGAAAACCACTCCTTTAGAGTGTCTCAAGCTGGGCACCCAAAGGAATAGCCATTTTTGAAGATCTCGCATTTAATATGAAGAAATCAAATAATATCAACCTTAGTTTGAAGAGCGTGTGGCTGGGCTTCCCAGCTGCTGGTGATAGCTGGCACTGCTGGCACAAACGGCGAGACTGCAAGTGTGCAAGAGGTAAACACGCAGCAGCACAACATCACACAAGAGGGGAAACGCAGCACTCTTCTGATGTTCGGAAAATAGTGTAAGGAAAAGTAGGCCAACGCCAGGCCTCTGGGGGACGTACTGGGGTTGGATACAGCATAAACACAGGAAGGAGTGAGGCAATGAACCCATTCAGGGCTGTGGAATGTACGGCATGCATCCACCTGCAGTCCACATGCATGTAAACCCTGACTATCAAGGAATCACATCACTTCAGGGAACGCATGTGCAGGGTCCCGGTATAAAAGTGTGTCCCCAGGGCTAACATGCAGCATGGCCCAATGGCTAGGGGAGAGGACTAGGACTCAGAAAACTACAGTTCAATTCCCAGTTCTACCATTGACCTGGTAAGAGACCTTGGCAGACCTTCAGTGCTCTGTACCTGTTTCCCCTCCTTCCCTTTGTCTATTTAAACTCTTTGGGGGACTGTCACTATGTTAAGCACAACAAAACCCCCAAGGTGTTACTGTAAAACAATTAAAGGAAAATCTCTATTCGCTCCCCATCTGTGCTTAAGGGCCTAAATCTTTTCAAATGGCCTCCAGTTCTGCTGGCACAAATGCTAGCACTCCACTATCAAAGGGCATGTCTGCACTTTGAACTGTGGGTATGATTCCAAGCGAGAGGAGACATACTGGTGCTAGCTCTGATGGAGCTGGTGTGCTAAAAACAGAGCATAGCCTCGGTAGCTCAAGGGATGAGCTGCCCCAAGTACACAGCTAGCATCTCTGATGGGCGTGCTCTTTGGGCAGCTAGCCCCCCGTGCTGCTGACGCTGCTATGGCTACACTCTATTTTTAGCATGCTCACTCAGTGAGAGCTAGTACGAGTATGTCTCCTTGAGCTGGGAATCTCGGCCCCAGCTCCAAGTGCAGATGTGCTCTGACTGCCAGCATCTGCAACTATCTGCTGGTGGGAAAATGCAACTGCAAAATCAGAAGCTGGGTTAAGGCTGCCTTTCATTGCTCTTTACATCACTCGGGCATTTGGTTTTTTTCCAGGGGCGAGGATGTGGTGAGGCCAGCAGGTACCTCTGCTAGCCATCTCCTGGCCACCGTACAGTAATGCCTTCTATCTACCCTTATAAAGGGCACGGACAGCAGGGGTGCTAAAAGCTTTATGTCCTTGCTTCAGCCAGGTCGTGAGGCGAGCTGTGTGCAGTTTTGAAACAGCAAGTCATTGCAAATAAAAAATATATAAAACGTTTGAGTTTTCTCCAATTTTTTTTGTTTGTTTTTCTAAACGAACCATTCGCCAAAACGGACATGAATTCACAAACTGTTCCTGTGTCGCTGAATTTGCATTTTTCGCCCAAAAAAAAGTTATGTGTAAAAAAAATGTCGCCCAGCTCTGGTGGTGAACCAGGCAAGAAGCCCCCACCTAAATTAAACATTAGCAGAAGCACCTTGCTGAATCGGTGCCTGTATATTAACAATGCTGCCTTGGCCGAGTGCTCTTTACAGAACTTCCCTCTTGGTCATTCCAAAGGCAATTTCTCGCCCTGTAGGTGCAGCTCTTTCGCTATTCATAAGAGGAAGCAGGAGTGGGGCAGGAGGAAGGCAGAGAGAGTAAAGACGGGTGATACTTACTGCTGGGACTGCTTCTCGGCCAGCTCTTTCGTTTTCTCCTAGGATAATGGGGGAGAAAACATAAGTCAATATGAGATAACCATAATGCAGAGAGAGACAGGGACGCGCACACACACACAAACACCCAGGGGAAACAGTACTATCTGCTACAGGAGCTTGGGATAGTTTTGTCAGGGACACTGAGTGGGCTGGCTATTCTGCGCTTTATTGGAAGGCAGAGCAAAACTTTGGTGACTTTTTTTTTCCTTGTGCCAAAAACTATATTTAAAATGCCTCCTGGAGACTTGCTCCATCTCTAATGCACCTTCTAGCAACTGCAGCTGTTCTGCATAGACAGTTAAACGAAAGGAAATGACGCACAGATGCTATGGCGACAAGCACGCTCGATTTGCTAATATAATTACAATATGTGTTGCAAGTGCACAAAAAGGAATGGGGCGGGAAGGAACCAGGGAGCCTGGAACTATGCAATTGCCTAGAATATAATTATGCAGATATATCCTTATTGTGTGTTACATTGTACAATATGCAGGTGCTTATATTTCAGGGTAAGTTGCCCACTGGGATTCCTGTGTATGTCTCACTGTGCCCACCAGAATGATTGTTATTTCAGTTCCGATGTGCTGCACACCACTAAGGTTTTATTTACATGAACGCTTCCCCCTGAAGTTCCCCACCGTTGCTACCACCGAGGCAGCTGCACCTGTATTAGACAGACTACTGCCATTCTAATCACCGTGTTTTCCTAAACTTGCTCTGAGCAGGGCTACTCTGCTTAAAATGCTGGTGGATGCCTGCAGCCTCACCTGGGTAGCAATGGTGAGAAACAAAGTCTGGTGTAAACGAGGCCAGAGTGGCACCGCGCGCGGCAGGAGAACGAGGTGATCTCTAACAGGGAGGAAACGTACAAACCCTGATTCCACACGTGCATTTCCTCCACTCACGCTCCCTGACAGTGAGGCAGCAACATGGAGGGTTGTGATGTACGGTAGCTGGCATTCCTGCCCCGTGACCAGGCAGACGGCTAACAATGACTCCGGCCTGCAGTGACCTATAAACCCAGACCTCTCCCATACGGCAGCAGCAGTCCAAAACCCTTCCCACAGGCCTCCAGTCTGTGCTTCCAAGGCCATTGGCTGCGAAAGGAGGGGTGGTACTGAGCAAGGCTAGGGGCTACCCCTCATCCTAGGGGTTGAACATCAAACATTTAACAGGGGTTTGGCCTTTCCTTGCACCTTCTGACCACATCAATCAACACCAAGCAGCCCCTTCAGCCCAAGCCCCTGGGATCTCTCAAACCGCTATGGCGAGGGAGGGGACAAGACCTCGGATTGATGGACAGGGTTGGCTCCTCATCAACAGACCCTCGCAAGATAGTTCAAGGCCTGCAAGCCTCTACAAATTACATGGGGATCTACAGTGCGCCTCAGGGCTGCCACCCTCTTTAATCCAGCCTGGGCAGACGTCCAGGCAGAGCCTCACAAGCGGGGACTTAGTGTCTGTGGGCTGCACAGCTGGGTGACAGGGAAGGACAGTGGTGATTTGGTAAGCGCAGCCCTTGGGCCCCTGGAGCCACCAATGTGGCCCTTGGATGGGCAAAGTTTGAATGCCCCCCCCTAGGTTTCGAGTTCACAGGAGGTGTTATTCGGAGACCCTACAGCACCTGCTGCATCCCCGGCACTACCCCCTGTCCCCGACTCCCCTAGGAAAGCTCACAGACTGACCCACACTGTCCTCTGAATCATCTTGGCTGACTTGAGCAGCAGCTGGCCGAAGTCGCCCGGCTCGAAGCTGGTGGCGGAGTGCTGGATGCAGAGGCACAACAGGAAGGCCGGTGTCAACTTGTGATCGTCACCCCCAGGCTCGATCAAGGTCATGATCCTTCTCACCAGCATGTCCTCGGCAGCTCTCTCGAACTCCAGCTGCAGCCTCTTCCTGGCTGATCTTTGGCCTGAGGCGGGGGAGGGCCCGTGCTTCTTGGAGGAGGGGCCCCTCTCCTTGAGCTGGCTGCCACACATCTTACAGACCACTGGTGCCTCAGGGTCCGAGGCACCATGCATAGATTTCAGCCTCATCAGTGTCTGCGCAGGCAGTGGCTGGGCCCTCGTGGGGTCCTTGTAGAGAAGCAGGTAGTAAAGCCCCAGAGACAGGAGGTCTCCGTGGTGCAGCACGATCGTCTTTACCACTTCGGAGAAGTTGACGGACACACTGGCCCCCGGGATGAGCTCAAGGATCAGCTTCTCCTCCGAACGGTGTCGGGAGCGGCTCGACAGCTTGAGCCTCCTGATGGTGCAGTGAAGGGGCAGGATGTCCGGGGCGAAGAGGCTGATGCTGGGTTTGCTGGACTGAGTCCTGTGGCCCACTGTGTGCTGCTCACGGTTCAGCAGGTAAACCAAGCTATCCTAGAATGCAAGCATGAAAACTGGTAGCAAAGCAGGCACGACCCCCGAGCAGCTGCACAAGTGCCTTGATCTGACAGGATGTAAAGCCATGAATCTAGCCTTCCCTCTCTGGTCACTCGCTCTGGTATCTTGACTCATCAGTGCTGGTGGCCTCTTGCAGTTCCCTGGGTGCCCACAGCACACATCTTTGCACTGCAGTACTATTTTTTATTCCAAACACCGCAGTGCTTTCCCCAAATTATAACTTGAGTTGGCGTGGCAGTGACTCATGCAGCAGAAGAGGCATGCTACAAGAGACAGGACTCGGAGCAATTAGCATGCAATGGCTCAATTTCCACTGCAATTGCTAGGTAACTCTACTGTGCCTATCGCCTCGATACATGTACCTGCTAATACATTTGGTACCGTTACACAAGTAACTGAGCAACCTGCATCCATCCCACTTGACTATAGCTGGGGAGGAAGGTTATATAATTCCTCGGAAATTGGATAGCTACTCCAGTATAATGAATGCCAATAATTCACATCAAAGATTAGCAGCGCCTTTTGGGTATATGGATGCAGAATGAGTGAACTACTGTTCCCAGGATGCATTGCAAAGGGAGCAAACAGCTGGAGATCTGCTGACCTGCCCCAAGATATCTGGTATCATCTGCTAGTTTGCAAACAGTAAGGGGCATTCACTTCATTGACTCTTACCACTTCTACGGGACTAACAGAGCATGCAGTCATACACATCAACCCTCCAGATACAGTTGGTCAACTCTCAGGATGGTTCTGGCCATCAGCACACTCTCACGTTAACTCAAATGAGTTCATGTATCACTAATCACTGCTCTATAAAATCACTGTTCAGTGTGACTCCATAACCGGAACAGGGACATTCTGGAACTCAGACATAAATGGAGTGTCCCTCTCTCGAAGGTCAAGATCAGTGGGTTTCGCTTGCTCTTTGTAGCACTTTTTTCTTTCCCACCTTCCACTCTCATTTCTCTTCTCAGACTACAGAAAGGGGCGGCAGCTAAGACAAAATCACATAGGACCTAAGTCTGCCCTCATTTACACAAGTGCATCTGTCACTGACTTCCATGTGTGAGGACAGAGCAGGACCCATTCTCTCTTGCACTGGCAGTGGGATCTAGTGGTCAGAACTGGGGATAGGGAACCAGAACACCAAGGCTCTGTTCCTGACTTTTCCACTCACTTGCTCTGCAACAAGGGGCAGCTCACTTAACTACTCAGTGCCTCAGTTTCCCTATCTGTAAAATGGGGATAACAAGAGTTGTTGTTCTAGAGGCTCGCAGTGCACCCTATAGTAAGCAGAGGTAGCACAATACCAGCTGGCAAGGACTATAAGATCTGTGTTACAACCGAACAGAACACGAAATCTTAGCAAACACTGGCATTCAACCCTTGACAAAACAGTTAGTAGGTCAGTAGCCGGAAGACGAGTGCTACTCGCTGCCAGTACTCAAAGTGCATGCTGGGTTTGGGGAGTGGTTGAAATTTCCCACATGACCCATCTACGTATCACCTTTGAGGGGTGTTAAATTGGCACAGATGATGACAGAGCAGCTTCAGAGGTAACACCCCATGGAAGCGAATGGAGGCAGCTTGGAGCTCTCGGTCATTGCAGGCTGCCTGGCTGCAGACTCAGGCAGACGGCACTGCGTGGGCCAACAGTCGGAAGGTTTTCGTCACACGCATGAAGGCTTTTTTTAAAAAATCATAAAATCTTAAATTCTGCAAGGAAAGTCCCCTGGCGAGTGCCTTTGCCAAGCCCCAATGGTATTTATTATGCTGCCCTACGGCACACTATACAGTGCAGCGGCTTTGCACTGCATTCACCTTAGTGCTTTATGGGACATTCCCAAAGGGAAACCCAGCATATTCTAGGTGGACTTTAATGTCAGGCTGCCTGTGCCCACTCCACCCTTATTCCTGGGCTCTGATGCAAGCAGGACTTGGCTGACTTGAGCAGCTGACGCTCACACCTGTCTCTGTCTGCTCTAAACCGCAGGTTTCGCCAGGGCTCCAAAGAGACGCAACTTGGACAATGCTCCAAACAAGCAGGAGCCCTTGCAGCAAAGTCAAGAGACAAGACATCTGCTTAAATATTGTTTGAGAAAACTCAACTCTCTCTCCAAACCCCCGGCAGGGGCAAGCCACAACGGCAGACAGCCTGAGTGGCTCTCGGGGTTACTAACAGAAGCTAGTTCTTTCCCTCAGCATCTCTGTGCCAGGATCCCCCTTCCCTTGGGGCAGGGGATGTAGCAGCCCACTCTCCGAGCGTGTCTCTGGACTCCAGGAGAGTAGCAAATGCCACGCCATAAAGCATCTCAGTGTCTGAAAACCCACACCTCCCCTAGGGCACCTGCTGGGACTGGTCAGGAGCTGATGGCATGGGCTGTAGAGGGAGCGCACAGACCGTCAATGTACGTAAAGCCTCACAGAGTGGAAGGCTGGGTGCTTACGTGCTGGTAGCTGTAGCCCTGCAGGAGTAGGAGGTGAGGGGACTGGTAGAGGGAGTACCGCACGCTGCTGCCATTCCGCTCCGCCGTGGGGGCTTGCTGCTCATCCCTCGAGCTCTCCAGGCCGCGGATGGTCTCGGGCAGCGTGGAGTAATGTCTCTTGAGCTGCTCCTCCTCCGGCGAGCCCACGTGACTGAGGCTGGTCTCGCTCACGCTGCGTCGGAGGGTGGGTGGCGTGGAGTGTCGCTTGCATCCTGTCAGCAGGGTCATGGTGCCCTTCGCACGGTTCCTCTGCAGCTTCCGAGCCTGGGCATTGATGCCTAAGGACGAGAGCAGCGTTCAGTGCTGGGGCATGCAAAGAGCTTCCCTGGCTTTTTGCCCTGTGCCAGTCCTGCTTGGGGAATAACAAAAGTGAATGTTGGCCCTGGGACTGCCCAGCCAGAAACTGAGCCAGCCACGCCCCAGATACCAAAGTGTGGGCTCTCTGAATACAGCTTTCACTCCCTAGGCCTGGCTTCACCCTGCCAAACGAGGGCCTTGGAGATCTCTCTGTCTATTAATTCTTAGGTCACCATTTTATCTCTGGACACTCCTTCATCACTGCCCAAACCACATGCCTTCTAGTCAGCCGCTAGCATAGATGGAGCCATAAGAGAGCCCTAGCATAGCAAAGACATGTTCCCAGACATCACACAAACTGCCTTTCCATCCTGCCTGTACTCCCCTGCTCAGACTCTGCCTAGAACCCACTGTCACCTGCCCCAGGATCACAAGGCATTGAAAATCCTAAGGTCCCCTCGAACCTGGGGCTGCAGTTGGGCTATAGCTCCAAGCCAGCGGGCCAGCATATTTAAACCCATCATAAATAGATGCATCACTTGCGAGACTCTGAACAGCAGAGGAGCATCTTAAGAAAGGACCCTTAGTCATATTCTGTCCAGCATCGTCTCACCGCTTTGGCCAGCAGAGGATTAGCAAAATGTTGTTTAAAGCTCCTGGAAACTCACCACGCCGTTCAGGAACCAGGAGGGGAAAGCAACGTTATCCCTCCAGAACGAATGAGCCCAACCCCCACCACTAAGCCCCACTGTTTCCTGAGCAATGCAGCTGGACCCCGAGAACTGACAGCTTTTGAGGGCGAGACACTAGCTCTTGGAAGCAAATACAAACAAGTTTCATGCCAACTTCACCCTGCTAATCAAGGAGAGTAACGTCCCAGCCCCACCCCCCACCCTTCCCATTCCAGCCACAAAATGGTCTCTTGAAATATCCTCCCCACCTTACTTGGGAGCAGCCAGGATCCATCTCAAATCTGCAGCATCTTTTTACCAGCTGGCCCGAGCCACCCAGGGTGGAAAATACCTTGATCGAAAACAAACAAAGGCCAGAATGCAGAGTGACAGCCCGGGGGCTTCATCCCTTACCATGCAGCCAGCAGGCAGGGTCCACTGAGGGTCCTGCGCCCTGCACCATTGGCTAAGTGCACCTGGTTGTGAGTGGGGTGTGAGTGCTGACTGCCAGGACCTGCAGACTGCAGTGAAGAGCGTGCCTGCCTGCCTGCTGCAGAGCAGAGCTGTAATTAAGTTCACAAGCATCAATTCGGGAGAGCTGTCAGGAAGACAAATGGGGGCTAGAGCTAGTGTATAAATAGGATCAAACGACCAAACCCAAACCCATCCTGCTCAGCCCGACTGGATTCCCCACTGCAGAAACAAGCCAGGGTGCCAAAGTCCCTCTCTATGCTGGAAACATCAATGATTGGGCGCAAGTTCTGGAAAAGAAAAACAGAAGTTGTGAATGCTGTTTGGAATCCTCCGACCTTTCATCCGGGGTCCCCAGGAGCAGGAAGGTCGGCTGCACGCTCATTCGTTGATTAACATGGGAGGAGAATAAAAGGGTCTCGAAAATTCTGTTTCAGGATTAATGCAACAGCAGAATTTAATTTAAAGCAACAGCAGAGTTGTTAAAACAAAGAGCAAGACTCCCCATCTTCTGGATTCCTCCTGCAGTCTTCTATGGGCTGTTGGACCACACGCCAGACATCTGCAGAATACAGGCTCTCCCCAGCAGGAACTCAGTCAAACTCCAGCTCACACAGGGAGACACCAACCATATCCCTCTGTTCGGAACAGAGCAGCACTCTGAACTGGAAAGGCAAGCTCAGCAGTCGGCTGCTTAAAGGGACACTCTCGAGGTTAGACCCAAAATGCCACCTTCCTTATTTGGTGAGGAACTGACTCTGGGTTCTGAAGTACATTTTTTGTTTGTTTGTTTTGAGACTATCGCTCCTTTGCTGGGAAAATGAAGTAGATGAGGGCGGGGGAGAAATAAGCCCTACTGTTTACATGCCTTAGGATTAGGACAGGGGATGGCCGCACAGCCTAGAGAGTTCTGAAACACGGCCCGCTGCCATCTCAGAGCAAGATGGGGCAGCGCATGTTAGGATGTGGCCTCCATAGGCTGTGCTTCCGTCCTGGAACAGGTGCAGGGAAGAGCTACTAGAGGAATGGAAAACCTACCTTATGAGAGGAGACTCAAGGAGCTTGGCTTGTTTAGCCTAACCAAAAGAAAGCTGAAGGGAAATATGATTGTGCTCTATAAATACATCAGAGGGATAAATACCAGGGAGGAAGAGGAGTTAAGTTTAAGTTAAGCACCAATGTGGACACAAGAACAAATGGATATAAACTGGCCATCAAGAAGTTTAGGCTTGAAATTAGATGAAGGTTTCTAACCATCAGAGGAGTGAAGTTCTGGAATAGCCTTCCCAGGGGAGCAGTGGGGGGCAAAAAACCTATCTGGCTTCAAGACTGAGCTTGATTAGTTTATGGAGGGGTGGTATGTGATGAGACTGCCTACAATGGCATGTGGCCCGTCAGTGACTGCTAGCAGCAAATATCTCCAATGGCTGGTGATGGGACACTAGACAAGGAGGGTTCTGAGTCACAACAGAGAATTCTTTCCCAGGTGTCTGGCTGGTGGGTCTTGCCCACATGCTCAGGGTATAATTCAGTGGTCCCCAAACTTTTCAGGGTCACCCCCCCTTACCCTTGTCTGTGCGCCACCCCAGGAGCCGGGGCCATGGCTTATGGGGAGGACGGGGAACGCGGACAGGGGCAAGGGGGCCAAGACTGGGGCCGTGGCTGGAGGCAGGTCTGGGGCCAGGATCAGGAACGGAGCCGCAGCCAGGGGCCGAGGC